CACCGCCACCTCCGCCTCCTGGGTTCAGGCATTCTCCTGCCTCAGCCTCCTGAGTAGCTGGGATTACAGGCACACGCCACCATGCCCAGCTAATGTTTTGTAGTTTTAGTAGAGACGGGGTTACACCATGTTGACCAGGATGGTCTCGATCTCTTGACCTCGTGATCCACCCGCCTCGGCCTCCCAAAGTGCTGGGATTACAGGCTTGAGCCACCGCGCCCGGCTTTTGTATTTTTAGTAGAGACAGGGTTACACCACGTTGGCCAGGCTGGTGTTGAACTCCTGACCTCAGGTGATCCGCCCATATCAGCCTCCCAAAGTGCGGGGATTATAGGCGTGAGTCACCAAGCCTGGCCAAGTTAGTTAGTTAGTTATTGAGACAGGGTCTCAGTCCATCACCCCAGGCTGGAGTGCAGTGGCACAATCGTAGCTCACTGTAGCCCCCAACCCTTGGGTTCCACAGATCCTCCAGCCCCAGCCTCTCAAGTCACTGGGACTACAGGCACACCACCACACCCAGCTAATTTCTTTTCATTTTTTTAGAGATAGGGTCTCACTATGTTGCCCAGGCTAGTCTTGAAATCCTGGCCTCAAGTGATCCTCCCTCCTTGTTCTCCCAGAGTGCTGGGTTTACAGGTATAAGCCATTGCACCCGGCCTACCAATATTCTTATACTGCATACAATCACATAAAAACCAATTCAAATAAAGACCCGAAGTATTTATCCTTATAGGTACTGCTAACAATAGAAGAAGCTATGCATTTTTTGTATTCCAATAAATAATACGATTTTGTAAATGTAAACTTTGATATGTTGGAAAATAGTAAGCAGGAGGAAGGTGGTAAAAAAAAAATATGGGGCCATCATCAGGGTGGTGTGAACAAAAAATGATAAAATGCATGTTAAGAACCTAGCACAGACTGGGCGGGGTGGTTCACACCTGTAATCCCAGCACTTTGGGAGGCAGAGGTGGGCGGATCACTTGAGGTCAGGAGTTTGAGACCAGCCTGGCCAACAGGAATAAACCCCATCTCTACTAAAATATAAAAATTAGCTGGGCGTGGTGGTGTATGCCTGTAATCTCAGCTACTCGGGAGGCTGAGGCAGGAGAATCACTTGAACCTGGGAGGCAAAGGTGGTAGTGAGCGGAGATGGGGCCATTGCACTCCAGCACGGGCGACGGAGCAAAGCTCTGTCTCCAAAACAAAGAACTTAGCACAGTGTTGATGTACAGAAAGAATGCAATTAAGGCTCTTATTACTTTATTAATGAGTAATGAGGTAGTACCAATTACTGTTAAGACAGTTTGTCACCAGACCTGCTTGCTACACAGTAAAAGTGACTGGCAGGGAGAAAACACTGTTACTTTCCTCTTCTGCATTGCTTCACAAATTCTGCTCAATTTTAAGAATATTATGTTTTTTTAAGAACTTGTATTTTATAAAAATGTATTCACATAATAGATATTGTTCTGCCAAGTTTCACTTCGTTTTTATATAACAGCTTTAACAAGATATATATATACTTTTTTTTTTTTTTTTTTTTTTTT